AGTCAGTAATACCAAATTCTTGTAATTTGCTTGTTTTTTGTTTTTTTTTTATAGGCGGCGCTATGCCGCCCTCTCGTTCCCCCTAACATTTATGGGAAAGGGACGTTGGGTGCGGGTGGGAACTCCTAATTTACTATTTTTTTTTCTCTTTCAACATCTTATAGTTTTCTTATTGCTAATTTACAGTTTTTCTATTTTAATATCACAGTTTTGGTTGTAAATTGTTAGATAACACCGAAAGAATAAAATATGTTATCGGAATATCGAATTTTGGTAATCTAGGTTCATCAAGCAGTGGTGGGACAGGCCCTAAGTATCTTTAATTAGCAATGCAATGAGTTAAGAAAGTAATAGAATAAAAGGGGATAAAAACAAGAATTGGACAGCAAACAATAATCAAACAAAGCAAAAAATAATTGCGGTATTAACACTTTCTTTGTAAGCTTCAATAATTTTACCACCGTTTTGGTTACATTATAACTTAACAATGAGCTAACCTCTGTTTTTTCTTCCATAACCCAAGATACAAAACAGTTGTAGGGATTTTTTTAATATCAGATTCTTGATAATTAACTAATACTAGCTGTTCCAATGCGGCTTCATCCGCATGAAATGTCAAAATTCAAATGCACAAATGACAATTGCTTCCTTGATGTTGGCAGAGACTTATGGTCTCTTTCCCACATTAGGATTTTTATCCCCCATTAAAATATTTACCCCTAAATTGAATGGCGTGAAAATATATAGCCTAAAGCGTGACGTAAGTGTAGGGCTTATTATTAAAAAAAGAACTATTCAAAAATATGCTATGATTGCTGACATCTTTGGCAACAAAGAAGTGTGTGTTTACGCTTTATTATAATAGTATAGATTACTTTTAACATTCTTACTAAGCTCTAGGCTTGTGCTAGGAATGGTTTACAATAGTCATATTGCGGGATCCAAACACTCAACCACGTGATCAAAAATTATCCTAACCATTAGGCTATTGACACTTAAAGGGGATTAAATGAAAGTTTAAAACCAGTGAGAGGTTTAACTAATAAATAACTTACTGGTTAATGCTTCCCCTCCTTCACCGGACAGCAAGGCTTGCACTTTAGTCCTCAAAGCCAGCAGTCTGTCGTGGAAGCCGTAGGCAGCGAGCGAGGCGGCGTGCGGCAGACAGTTGCCGTCGCCGGAGGTCGCCAGCGGCAGCAGGCGCGGGGTGCCCGGCACGCGCCCGTGTCGCCACCAGTTTAAAATACCAGCAGACTCGAGAGTAACAAGAGTTGCCGTTTCTAGTAAGTCTTTTTCGATGAATATTCTGGAAACATTTAAGGTGAAGTCAACCTTTTTGACCTACTGTCCAAAGAGAGGAAAAAATTCGTCTGTAATTTTTATGTATGTTATATCTCTGGCCCTAGTAGACCGATTTTGAAAATTCTTTTTTCTCTTTATAGTACTTCTAGTAACTGTACAAATAAATAATTTAAAAATACGGTAAACAATTTGACCCTGTCTACTCTTGTTTTCTTTCGACGTTTTTAAAGTAGTTTATTCATAAGGATGTTTGCACGCGAATGTTACATAGTATGTTTATATTTCATGTAAACATACGAAGTGTTTCATGTAACGTAAATTTTGTCAGAACAGAACACGCAAGTCATCGCTGTTGAAGCTTCCTTGTTCAATTTGACCTATCTTTTTTTCAGAAAGGCTACTTGGGAACAAGGACTATACTTAGTGCCAGTTATTTAATGGTAACTAAGTAAGTCTCTTAGGTTAGATTGACATTAAAATATATAGATTTGACAAGAAAAATCTTACCTAGAGGGGCATTTAAATTTTATTTAAAAAAAATACAACTTAGTGCAACAATTGGATTAGGCGAGCAATAAAAGTACTTGCTTGTTTATATCTTTCAAAACTAGGCTTTTGCTCACGACTTACATCGCAGGTATTAAAATATATATACAAAAAATGTTGCTCTTATGTTACTCACTGATAACGTAGCTTTCTAATGGTAAAATAATTTTAGAAATCGACCCAGTAGTTTTTGAGTTATTTCAATACATACAAAAATACAAATCTTTCCTCTTTATAATATTAGAAAGAAAGAAAGAGACAGCATATTACCTGAAATCAGGTGGATATACGGAGATATCTGGCAGTAGCAGTATGTGGTCTGAGCTCAATGTGTTGGGTTCAGGCTCGGTGTTACTGCGGAGTGCCCACACCAGACCCTCGTTGTCCGTCGCTCGCGATATACCACGTGATAGCTTGCGACCTGGAAAATATCAAACACAAGAGTTGACTACTAACCGGCTTTAACCCGTAACCTTTTAATACCCTTCAATAACCTCTATAACCTTCAACTTTTTCTATATCTATCTACTTTTTAACTTCTCGTCCAATCTTATCTTTCCCCAACTAACACATCTTACCGACCGTATTACTAACAAGAATATTATAAGTTATATCCTTTGGGGCTTTAAAAGGCGACAAACAAGTTTTGATGTCTGATGCTGGGTTACTGAAGTTTCCGTTCATTTACCGCTAGATTTCGCCCATGACTCCGTCCGTGTGGAATAAAAAAACAATAGTGAGTAGCCGATGTGTTCTTCCAAACTATGCACTATATCTATACTAAATTTCATCGAGATCCGTGCAGCTGTTTAGGCTACAAACTCTAACAAACATCCATCTAAACATTAGCATTTATGATATTAGTAACAAGTAAGATTATTAGTATTTAACTGATTCATTAGTGTTAGGTTGTACTATTTCAAAGGAGTAAAACTCAGCTAGCTCGTTCGGAAACGCATTTCATGAAGTTATGGAATCAATAACACTAACGAATGGTTAAAAGTAGCTGGGAAACCGGCCATGAGTATAGTGATATTTGCAGTAATTACAATAGATAAGATTATATGTTTGTATGAAACCGGAGAGCATGACCTAACCACATTTATTGGTCGTGATGAACTTGAATTAGTTAACCTTCATAGCAATTTAGGTGCAGCTTCTATTGTACAGTATTTCGTATTTTAAGTATACTTGTGTACGATTTATTAAATGATGTCCAAGTTCATGAACTTCGTATCAATATTGTCAAATGTAGAGGTCAATAAACTAACTGTATTTAAAAGAAATCTATACTATTATAATAAAGCGTAAACACACATTTCTTTGTTGCCTAAGTTGTCAGCAATAACAGAATATTTTTGAATAATACTTTTTTTTATTAAAAAGCCCTACACTTACGTCACGCTTTTGGCTATATATTTTCACGCCATTAAACTTAAAGAGTAAATATTTTGGATAAAAACCCTAATGTGGGAAAGAGACCATAAGTTGCTGTCAAAATCAAGGAAGCAAGGTTGCCGTGCTTTGTCATCATGTCATGTCATTTTGACATTTGCAATTGATAATTTGACACATGTAAACAATAAAAAAAATCATAATTTTATGTGGATGAACTCGCACGGGAACAGCTACTTACTTATAAAAGCCAAGCAATAATTCCAATAATGGTAATACTGCTGATATGTGGGTTAACAAACCAATTAGGTAGAAAACTATTGCGCCGTTCTCATTGAAATGTTTCAGATTACAATTTATAACAGTAAGGGCCTGTCCCACAATTCTTGTAAATTGTCAGATAACAATGTATTCTATAAAATATGTGATGGAAATATCGGATTTTGGTATTCTCTATGACAGTGACGTCACTAAGCTTTGTGACCCTCTATCAGCCAGTGGTGGGACACTAGACCTTAAACATCATCATCCACTTGCCCTTATCCCTTAGACACTAGACATTAAACGTTTTAATTAAATGTACAATTTATAAACAAGAAAGGTACGGTAAAATTAATTATATACCTCTACTTTTACGTATAATCTTGACAGGCTGGTCGATGGCATTGAACCTCCCACCTGTCGTAGTATCGACAGATGTGACGACCCTTTGCGATTATATTCTACTTTGGAATACTATACAAGCACTAAAAACAGCTGCCTTATTTGATATACACTTTTTTTGCTTCATTGACAGAAGAGGGATGCTTTACAAATCACTTGACGGATTTTGGCGAAAATGCCGTTCGATATGTATCCTTCTATGGAACGAAATAGGGTTTAATTCAACTTACATTCAGGTGCTGGGGTGAGCACTAAGTTAGAAGGCGCTGAGTAGGACATGGCGAGGTCTAGGTTGCTGACAGACCGCTCTGGCATGACGTCACCACCCGCCCTCGGCCGATGTACTCGATCTGAAATATACAGTGTGAAAAAATTAAAATGGTTTAAACATTACAATAATGAATAACGGGAAAAATCTATTCTATCATTTTGGTTCTCTTGTCTTTGATATTGAGTTTCACTTTAAGCTTGAAAATATCTTTGACTAAACTATCTAAACACTGTTTAGTTGCACTTTCCTATGAGCATGTAGGTACACTGGACGATTTTTAGTTGTGCAACTAAACAGTTGAATTGGCTGCGAAACAATCGACAATCGCACATCAGTTATGCGATTTTAGTCAAAGGTGTGCGCCCGCTCTATTGTGGTATTAGTGCTCACGAACAAATAGCTCATATATGATATGATACACCAATTTGTAAACACGAAATAGTGCTTAATTACGTATCATCGCAACTGTATGGCAAGTGCCAATAATTATGATATCAAGTCACGTAGTATTTGAATAGAGGGGCCACTGGCCGTTAGAATGTTAATGCGAACGAAATTAACTTTTACTTCCTGCAAATTAAGAGCTGTTATTCTGTAATCAAAGTTGCAGTCCAAATATGTCATTAGCAAGTTACGTAAGCATTTCAAAACGAATACAAATAGATACTATTATTGCAATTAAAATGCTGAACCTTTGCATTAAAAAACATGTGCGGTTTTAAATAAAAATTGTGAAAGAATTATTCTTTCCTCTAAATGGAATGTTCTATGTATTATGTGGTAGTGTGTGCGAAGTAATTGTGGGAGGAAATCAGGGATACCGTGACGTAATACTAGTAAATAATAAGCGTGTTAAAATAAGGACTTTATACTGGAATTCGAACTAAGTTACGCTCTGCTTGGTGAGACTAAGGAATGTGATCTCACACTTCCTTGTAGTCCATGGTGTAAATAAAAATATAGAGCGGACAGATTGAAACTTAAATAATGCAGACTTTATAATCTACTAGCTATTCCCCTGCGGCTTCATCCGCATGAAATGATGAAAATTTTATATTACTGTTTACGTTTGTCAAATTATCAATAGGAAATGTCAAAATGACATGATAAACCTTGGCAATCTTGCTTCCTTGATGTAGGCAGCAACTTATGGTCTTGTAGTGTACTTATCTATTCCCACATTGGGTTTTTATCCAAAATATTTACCCCCTGAGTTTAATGGCGTGAAAATATACAGCCTAAAGCGTGTCGTAAGTGTAGGGTTTTTTATTAAAAATAAGATTATTCAAAAATATGGTGTAATTGCTGACATTTTAGGCAACAAAGAAGTGTGTGTTTACGCTTTATATAGATTAGAATTTAATCGAGATAATATAATATAATAACTTATATTTCGGTCAACAGTTTACGGCCGTTTGTTGTAGATTTAATATGAAACTAAGGGCCACCTTGTTAACCATTTAACGACTCTGTGTGCGGCAGTTAGCCAGAATTGCTAATTTACGTGTTTAAAAACAATAATAGTTTTCATACTTGTTTAAACCTCAAGACTCAACAATTAACCTCATTTTGAGTACTGATGAATTCTACTTAAGATTTTTAGGTTATAATTTTTTTTCTTCTAAACTATATTTCACCATGCCAGTAACCTTAATTACTGATTCAACATTTTTATATTATAATTGTTTTAATTGGATAAAGTTCATACATATTACGAGGAAGCCATGTATAGGTGTATAGGCTTTCTTTATATAACAAATTATATGTAATTAATCTTTATCAAGGATACTAGAGCCAGTAATATTTTTAAGCTTATTATATTTTTAACTACTTGGTTCGTCGATAAAATACTCCAATATTTATTATTAACTAGCTTTCGCCCGCGACTTCTTCCGCGTGGAATAAAAAAAAACAAAAGCGAGTAGTCTATGTGTTCTTCCAGACTATCCTCTACGTCTATGCCAAATTTCATTGAGATCCGTTCAGCCGTTTAGGCTACAAAGCGTAACAAACATCCATCAATCCATCCATCCATCTAAACTTTCGCATTTATAATATTAGTAAGATGATGTTTTAAAAACCATAAGGAAAGGTTAAGGGATGTGGCCTCACAATCTAATAGGTTCATCGCCTTTGGGGTAGAGAGTATAATAAAATTATCAACGTAATACATTTTCCACTAATCCATGCTGTAACACGCAACAGATGGAAAAACATCTGCAGTATAAAGCGTCAGAAGTTAATATGGGACGACATTCCGCGGCAGTGGCTTGGATTATAATTAGGAACAGTACTCCGATCTTATTTGACACATCTCAGTCAAATCTATGTGTAGCAATTGCTGAGCAAATCTATATTAAGGTTAACGACCGATATTAAAATATCTCTGCAAGTTTTCAATGTTCAAACGCGTTTATATAGAAGGATGTTTCTTAGTTTTTAGCCAGAGATAAAGATTAAGAATTTTTTTGTATTATGCCCTTATTAAATAAAATTTTAGTCCCTTTCCCTTTCCACCCTTTTCTTAAGAGGAAAGGATGGGAAGGAAAAGTAGATTTGACGGTGGAGGAAACGCATAGTGAGGGGAAATGTCCTCTTTATGCACGTCTTCTCCTCCGTCAATTAAGGATAGGCAACGCACCTATAATTGCGGATGTTTATGGGCAGCGGTCGCTTGCCATTTCGGTGGATTCAGGTGGACGCTGGCTCGTTTGCCACCTCATATTATATTAAATAAAATAGACTATAATAAAACTTACCATCGCTATGAGTATCAGAAATAGGGTTGGCCTCCATCACCATTCCGACCACCTGATCTGTAAAAAGGAAATGGTCATATATAACACAATAAAACAATTACCATAAAAAAAGGAAATAGGAGATTTATAGAAAGGATTGTAAACCGTAAAGTAATAAACAAAAAACTAAGTAAAAAAAAAATTGAGAATCGAGTACCTCCTTCTTTTGGGAAGTCGGTCAATAAAAATATGGACAAAAGCACATTAATGGCTGATAGCCGTCTTTCTTTTATCTTTTTTGAACACCGTACATGATCTTTCGACTATTCCAGGGTGCCTGGAATTGAAACTGAAATATTAAATTCATCAAAACACTGGTGATACATAAAAGGAGTTTTGTCAGCATTTTATTTTAATTTCACTCATAAATAGAAATGAGTTAACACATTTTTGGTGTCCACGTTTACAGGGATCTTTGCCAGAATATGACGAATGAAAGCAAAAATAAACGCACGGTGGATGATACAACTTCGCCTACACGAGCTCAAAAATAGAACGGTGCGTTTTAAATAACAACCAGTAAATAAAAACCCCGAAAGACACGCGTTAATACATTTCGGTAAAGGAAATCTTTTGTGTGGTGCAGTAGGACATAGGTCCTTTTATGTTGGTACTTTCATATTAGCGATTCCTTTTTGTTTCTAGTCACGAGTAAACATGCGTCTATTTGCTAAATAAATGTATACGCATTTGAGATATGAAGCATTTGTAGATGGTAGATAGATAGAACTATTAAAATGTATTGTGTTGAGAAAGATTGGATAAGAAATCCGATGACCTACATATTTTAAAATAAATATTAGAAATATCTCAACGAGATAATACTGAGTCATATAAACAAATACAGAGTAACGTAGGCGTTGCAAGTGGGTACTATGCATTTTATAAAACATTATATAATATCGAACGCGTGGGTCCAGTCTGTATTTACGTAATGCGTAAGGAATCCATATAAAGAGATAGACCAGATCGCCCCAACAAGGCAATGCTGATTCCCATTAGATTCAACTCTAGAAACTTTGTAAACAAACATCATCACTTTAAGGGTAGGCAACGCATCTCCAATTGCGGATGTCTATGGGCAGCGGTCGTTTCGCCTTTTGGCGAATTCAGGTGGCCGCTTGCTTATTTGCCACCTTATGATATAAAAAAATCATCATCAACTTTCTCTTGCCCTATAGGTCGCCACAGTATGTGCTCTTCCATACATTTCTATCAGCCGTCATATCTGAATTCACTCCTAAACATATCCTATTTCACACATCCCATCCATACTTTCTTCGGTCTCTCTACATTTGTAGCCATCCAAATTCAATCTTAACACTTTATGTCCGCATCTCTCGTCGAATATTTTGTAAATAAACGTATATTAAAGTGGCCATTATAGTATGAATAGTGAAATTATTTTTTCTATACATAATACAAATTAATTCGGTACATAATGTTACTGATACGGGAGTTACCGATGTTCCGCAATTCTTTATTCGATCTTGCTAACTGTGTTTTTTCCATAATCCTGCGACTCTCATGTTTTTATACAGCATATAAGTCAATACCCATTAAAGACAAAAATTGGAAAAGTATTTCAGTCTCAAACGAATGGTTCATTATTTTTGTCTTACAGCGGGAGTCTTATATTTTTGGATGTTAAATAACATTAACATAAGAAAAGAACTTTGTGGGGTAGCTAATAACACTTATAGCTACATTATCATGTACGATATTACGACAACACACACCTTCGACTAACTATATCACAACTGTATAGTCGCGCTTTGGTTCCTATGAATTTATAAGGTGCGCATATACCCAATTTTAACTGCAACTAAACAGTTGATTTGGCTGCGAAACAATCGACAATCGCACACAGTTGTGAGATAGTCCAGTCGCAAAGATGTACGCCCGCTCTAATTGTTGACCAAACTTTGGATTTCATCATCAAATAGAAAGAAGAAATGGTAGGAATATCAATACTATTCATAAAGAAAATTCTAAAAGAATTCAAAGACAAGTGTTGTCGTCTTTTGTTGCTTTTGTCTTCCACTACTTATCTTAAGTATACTTTTGTTTTTATACCACATACAAACTAAGTTCTACTTAATTATTTTCATCAAAGTATGTTATTTTTGACAAAGAGCTAGTAGAGCTGAATTGCAAATTTATTTTAGGTCAATGTTTTATCTTTTTGACTTTTAAACTCTTTGGACAACAAAAATACTTAATTTATTCTGTATATTAACAAGAACTTAGAGTTTTAAGGCTTTCAAAGGGCTGGGATATAGTGTTTCAAATTCATATTCAACTTTATGTTTAACTAGCTTTCGTTCGCGATTCCAACCGCGTGAAATTAAAAAAAAAAAAAAAACAAAAGTGACTAGTCTATGTGTTCTTCCAGAGTATCCTCTACGTCGATGCCAAATTTCGTAGTGATTCAGCCGTTTAGGCTACAAACTCTAAGTAACATCTATCCATTCATCGATCTATCTTAACTTTCGCATTTATAATATCAGTAAGATAAGCGGTAAGATTTTGACCTGTCCCTACAATTTGATAGTTTAATAGTACTAGTATCTTTTAAAGTTGTTTTAACCCCTATTGTTACAGATAAATAAATCATTTCTTATATATTGCAGCGTTTTACTTCTGTATTCCTAGCGAGACTTCCGCGCTAGCGTCGCCACTCGCGGTGACCTAGAGCGCCACGTTTTAACGCACCAGAGGACTTGCCATTCAGAACGCACTCCGACACCGGAACTATTGTATTGTGTTTAACTACGTAGTTTGGTGACGTCGTTATAGTATATCTTTTAACTTTTAACATCGCAAAAGTAGAAATAACAACACTCTTTAGGACACTAATGCCCGAATACTGAAAATATCCCTACCACTCCGTCCGCGTGGAATTAAAAAAAAAAGCAAAAGTGAGTAGCCTATGTGTTCTTCCAGACTATTCTCTACGTCTAAGCCGAATTTCATCGAGATCCGGTCAGCCGTTTAGGCTACATACTCTAATAAACATGAATGTTTGTTAGAGTTTGTAGCCAGTAGCCTTTGTAGCCTTGTTAGATAGATGCATGGCCATCCATCTAAACTTTCGCATTCATAATATTAATAAGAGGTAAGATATGTAACATCTCAATTAGTAATACCGAGTTTGTATTTGAAATTCCATAAATTTTTTTAAGCGAAGATTACAATTCGTTGTAGTATTGGGCCATAAGGAGAGTTCTTATGTTGACCGTGACCATTTAAAATATATACGTGTAATCATAACCATATTTGTAAGGTGACATCATTTCAGGTTTTATGAGCATTGTTAAAACACAAACTTCGCATGGCTGCGGACACAAGATTGTTTTTATTTATTGCACCGACACTGGCACTCTCGATAAGAAAATACCGTTCTGTAAAACTACTATTATTTTGTAAGTGTGGGTTTCCACTGACGGACTATACAAACAAAATGTTTTTAAGAGAACATTAAAGTTATTTCGGGAGTTACTATATATTAAATTACTGAAATAAATAAAATCAATGTTTTTAATTTGGGCATAGAATAAGCATAGACTCTTAAACCATCGATTGACGAATAAAATAGTACTAAGTTAAAAAAAAAAACAAACAGCAACTTGTAATCATCTAATTATATTACCTCATCTATTATCTAATAATATGGAT